CGCTTTCTGGTACGCCGCGGGAGCAACTGTTCAGATGTTGCTGTTTGCTGTAATTAGTGTACAGCTAAAGATACGAGCACCGGGCGCTAAAACCTTTCTGCAAGTGAGTATCATAAGTATATAAGTGATAGGTAGTAAGTAGATAAGTAGATAGTGAGTAGATATAGGGCATGATCTACGTGTCCATCTATCAGTCTCTGTCGTGTCCGCCCAATACTTAATCCAGCCGTTTATTCGTCCGTACGTCCGTGCGTTCGTGCGTCCGATTGTCAGTCTCTCTGTTTACGAAGTCAAAATAAGGTACGTGTCCGTAGCATCCTCCTCGTTGTGGCCTTAACGTCCTTGCTATAGACACCGGATCTGAACGCCGATAGGTAACGTTTGTAAGTCACTTTATACCGTACTAGCGGGATACCCGGCGTTGCCCGGGGAAATCAGTGGCGTTACTGAGTTGGTGACCGCTTGGTTGAAAAGAAAATACCCCAAAAAATCTAACTATATATCTATCCATGCATGCATGCATGCATCCATCCATCCATCCCATTCCATGCCATCCCATCCCATCCCATCGCACCGCATCCCATCCCATCCCATTCCATCCCATATCCCATCCCATCTCATCGCATCTCATCGCATCTCATGCCATCCCATGCCATCCCATGACATGCCATGACATGCCATGCCATGCCATGTCATCCCATCCCATCGCACCGCATCCCATCCCATCCCATCTCATTTCATGCCATGCCATGCCATCCCATGCCATCCCATGTCATCGCATGCCATCCCATCCCATCCCAAACAGTAAAAAATCATAAGAAATAAAAAGATAAAAAACATTAAATATAAAAAATAAAAAGTAAAAAAGTAAAAATAATGCATACTAAAGAGGTAGGTAAACAGAAAAAAAGGAAAAAGGGGAAAAATAAGTCCCCCAGCTGGGACTCGAACCCGGAATCCCGTTGTAGGAGACGGATGTTCTAGCGATTAGGCCACTGCACAGTTAAGGGTATAGACCATTCTTAATTATTATTCATGACCTGGGGTCACGCACGAAAACGAGGCTAAGCTAGGCACACCTGCGTGTACCTGCGTGTACGTGCGTGTATCTGCGTGCACGTGCGTGTACCCGCGTGTACGTGCGTTTACCCGCGTGTACCCGCGTGCACGTGCGTGTAACCGCGTGTACGTGCGTGTATCTGCGTGTACCCGCGTGTACGTGCGTGTATCTGCGTGTACGTGCGTGTACCCGCGTGTACGTGCGTGTACCCGCATGTACGTGCGTGTACCAGCGTGCACGTGCGTGTACCCGCGTGTACGTGCGTGTATCTGCGTGTACGTGCATGTACCCGCATGTACGTGCGTGTACCCCCTCTGTGCGTGCCTGCCTGAGCAGCCATTGTTTACAAAATTGCCTAGCTTAGTCTCGTTTTCGTGCGATGACCCCAGGTCATGAATAATATTTAAGACTGGATCATGGATCATGGATTCACGCGTACGTGATGTTAATCTTTACGCACCGCCATCTATTGATGAATAGAATTTTTATGAATTTTTAACTTTTTAACTTTTCTAAATTTTTGTTTCAGCCAGAACCACGTCCCAGAAGTGCTGATTCTGAAAATATCTTAGTTTTCCTATAGGCTGCGGAGTTCTCTAGTTCTGCGAGTACGAACTAATTCGGCTAAACAACTTTATATATATAGATATATAACAGTAGTTACTGTGGTTTACTCTGCGATCGGGCGTGTGCACGTGTTAATTTATAGCCCACTGCGATTTTGGAAAAGGTTATTCGCACGAAAAGTAATTTTAATGTAAATGTTAAACATATATATTGTTATTAATTATTATATATTATCGTTGCTGACACAGGTCAGGAATTAATCAGTGATTCAAGTCGCTCACGCCTCTAGCAATCACAAAGTTGGCCAGCCGATGAAGCTAACGACAATAACACGTATCGGCGCTTATTTGCAGGTGATACGCGTGCGGTTCGGTCGCACGGCCCACATCGTATTCTGCGTGTTTGCACTGCTCACCAATATCATAGTGACATCCATGCTGATGTTAGGTAAGCGGCTGAATGTATCGAATGAGTGCGGAAATGATACGTGATATGCCAGCCTGTTTTGCTAGCATCTATGACAAATACGACCTACGCATAATTATACGCTCTCCTATGACACTATTTGTCATAGGAAGATTCTTCTTATTAGGAACGCTATTATGAACGCAAGCAGTGAATTTCAGCTGTAAAGCGGAACAAACTTGACTCGCCAATACTTGTCATAGGAAGAATCTTCCTATGACAAATAGTGTCATAGGAGAGCGTATATGCGTATGTCGTTTTTGTCATAGATGCAAGCAGAACATGTTGAATGTGCGTGTGTGTGCGTGTGTGAACGCGCGCGTGCGGGCGCGCACCGGAGGCGTGTTCAGGAGAGCGAGCGCTCGATGCGAACGCTCGATGAACGAACGCAGCGCCTCCTGAACGATACACGAGCGCTCGCTTGTGCGCTCGCTGTGTGCTCGCTTGATCAAAGATGGCGGCCCCCATGAAGGGTTACTCAGCAGATTTTAATTGCGAGAGAACAAGTACTGTTAAACGAATTAGCAGACGAAATTGATACAAATTGAATTTAGAAGTAAATGAATGAATGAAAAGTGAAATAAAGTTGAAATAGATTGCAAATTGACGTCAGAAAGTTAGATTCGCATTCGCCAGATTTTTCGTCGCCATCTTGTAAACAACTCGCGCACTGAGCGAACAGCTTTTCAAACTTTGCGCGCAAACGCTCGCGAGCGCGTCGCTCGCGCAGCGGTGCGTTCAGAAGGCGAGCGCTCGCGAGCGCTCGCGAGCGTTCGGTCTCCTGAACACGCCTCGGGTCTTTGTACCTATCTGGGCGTCCATACCGCGATGTACGCGCGCGCGTGCGTCTGCGCGTGCTCTGTTGCGAGAGCGCATGTACCTGCAACGCCACTATTTGGGAACTTTTGAAGTTTTGCAGCAGCAGCAAGAATTATCGGTCGGCAAAGGTCAGGTAAAACAGCTAGGCGGTATCGACATGACGCATTCACGCTGGCAGCGCACTATCACCGGTTAGCGCGCTACTTCCTTCCCATAACACACTTCAGAATGGTAACTGTCCGTAATCGTCTGTGTCTATGTTTAAGATTATTTACGTGTAGCATATAATATAATTATTGCATGCACGGTTCGCGCTCGATCGCCTTCCGTGGTCATTCAATAACGAATTCACACAAATCTCACACATTACCATGATCGAGCATCATGCCATTGTTAAAGGAGGTAGGTTTGTCACTTATATGCTCTCAGGCACTCTCCGTCCAACGTTGACAGGTGCTGCGAGTACATCGAAATTCCAGCGCGGGCGGATATATGCGGCAACACGTGGTATCATCATCTGCACGCAAAACGCGCGAAAGCCATGTCAACCACAGGTGGACAAAAGTCGAGACCAAACTCCGAGTTCCTGAGAGCACTTAAATGCCAAACCCTTATAATCTGCACATCTAACTATATTTAATCTTCCCGGCAGCGGATTATAGGATAGCTCGTTTATTATGTAACGAGACAGGTCAAGTAAGGTGAAGGGCGGCCAATTAGCTAGTGCACTCGTTTGAGGCGTAAGCTGAGTATCTGCGAAACCGCAGAATCAAGTGATGCAGTTTGGCTTCATAGCTTTGCTGTGTTGCTGTTAACGACACTGCGTGCGACAAGCCAACACTAAATTACGTCCAACCTGCACTTGTTCATACTGGTAATTAACCCAGTTATTTAGCGTTGGAACACTTCATGGACGAAAAGGCACGTTTGCACGTTCACATGAACCAATTCACAATTATAAAATGGTTACTGTTGTGCATGCATTGTATGGCATGAGTGCAGCTGCATGTGCTTTAAGTGCTGCACGTATTGAAACTGTGAACAACCATACTACGAATTATTACGTTTCTGCACGTTAAATTATTGAACAGCGCATTTATAGATGTGCGAACTCCATTGATATGTTATGTCATTCGGTTCCATGACAAAATGCCATTTCACAAATTACCAGATCTTTATAAACGTGAACACCGCGTTATGCAAATATATAACTATGAATTGATGTTTTATCTATACCTATTATATTTGTGTTAAAAAGCATACGTGGTGCTTACATTTAGATTGTAAGGTCGTCGCGTAATTCAGGTGAACGTGGCGCATGATGCGAAACGCACGATCCCATTTAATATTGCTCTAACCTTTCACAAATCTATTTTATTTTACTCTATTTATCTAAAATAGATCATGATGTATATAGTCATAATCGCGTGCGTATTATACAGATGAAACGTGAAGTAAGCGCCTAACGTTTAGAGTGTTTAGAATGTAATGACAAATTTTTATACTTATAGAATTCAAGCTTTGATAGCCTGCAAGGTCTGAGCGCAGAGAAAACCTATCTCACTTATCGCTCGCAATATATTACGCCTTACATGAATAACGCCGCCATTCTGCATGACTCTTACGTAGGCGGCGCTGCCGTTCTGACTCGGCTCGTCGACGGACTGAGCGTGGAGTTAGCGACATTTCTGATCACGATCGTCATCGGTAGTTACACGTTCATCGGTGGACTCGGCGCCACATTCTACGTGGTCATACTTCAATACGGCCATAATATTCATTATCATCATCACATTCGCCTTGAAGGTGTTCCACGACCCACAGAATGACAGCAATTACTTGGTAAGCCGACCGCGTCGGGGGAAGATATCAGTCGCTCTCTGTGAATCTGAATGGTACGCAACGCCGAGGGACGTAATTGAAAGTGTGATTGAGGCGATTCCGGTTACATACGCGCACTCTCGTGCAACGTGTCACGTCCTCGTCATGCGGAAATTGTGGTCTTTGTCATATAAATGTCATCGCGTCTAAATACATGATATGATTGTCACCGCTGCTATATGAGAACTTGTTCATTTCAATTAGTGTAATGAGGCTCGTGTCGTACATAGTGGCCAGGTTCGTGATCTTTTGCGCGCGTGTAAGATTACCATTAGATAGCACGATTAATAGACAGACGTGAATAACGTATGACAGAAACAAAGGATGTAACGTACAACAATTAGCTATTAATTCTATTTACCGAGTAATACACACATATTAATAATCCCTCTATAGGGCATTGGCGCGTACACAGGTCTCGTAATCTAAACAATAAGCACAGCACAATATACACTGTACAATAACCGTATCAAAGTAGTTTACGAGTCTTAGAGTAGTTTACACACACAAATCAAGGTAGTTTACGCACAAATACAATACGACAAGGCAACGCTAACCAATACTCACATCTGGCGAAGACGACTCTGCGACTCTGCTTTCTGTTCTAAAGTGGGCCTTTTTATATAATTCTCGCCGAACCACTGGGACTTAAGTGTATAACGTGTAAGCTACGACTATCACGCCACCATTTGAGCGTATCTGCTATTTATGATTAATTTAGCAAGACGTGCAACATATCATGTAAACAGATCTATGGAAATATATTGAACTACTGCAAGCACATGTACAGCTGTATGTAGCGGTAATTGGAGGACGTTAGAATGGTACACAGCGATGTAGCAACGCGCTCAACAACGCGTACAAATATTCATGCGTCTCTCAACGAATACTATCAAGAATTTTGATATAACCGGTGCTATTAAAAGCCTGTCTGTTAAACGCGCATCTAATGGTGTCAGTAGCCATCTCGTTCAACGTTGCAACAATCAGTATCGCTGTAGGTTCACCGGCAAAAGTGTACGCACTGTTGGTGTGTCGCGAAGGCCCACCGTGGCAATAAAGACAGGAGTTCCTCACGATTCTAAGCAAGGACGGGCTGATGTTTGGAATCATAAACTTGGTTGGTGAGTAGCATTTTTATCACCTGGCCATGGTCTAACAATTACCGTACATGATACGCTCTGCTAACGAATTACTTGACGCTGTGTCAAGTTTCAGTTTCAGGCTACGTCCGAATTTTCTATGGTGTATATTATAGGAATATTATATTATATATATATATATATATATATATATATATATATATAGGAATATTACCGTGTAGCTGAGGTGTAGATGTTTTGGTCGAACACCGGCCTACACTTGGGCAAAAAATTAATTGTTCGTCTCTCAGGCCAATTTTTTCAAAAGGTAATGAGGCAGGCAGGTGTCTTTTTTATCTCCTCCATATTCTCCAGAAAATGGTGAGATCTACATGTATCTATTAATTCAGTTCACTTTTTGCCTCTTGGCATTTTTTGAACATTTCGGATTTCCGGAATTTCGAATGCGGTTTTTTGTGTGGGGGGGGGAAGTAATAAAGTATAATATAGACGTAGAAACGAACAATTATTTTTTGGCTTTAGTGAGATGTTAAGGGCTTCTGGCGTAGAGGGGGTTGCTGTAATATATTATCATATCAGTGGCAATAAGTCGCTATAGGCTGTCGTGTAAAATGGCTAGATATGAGGCAACCTCGTTCATATCTGCTAAATGTCTTGTTATGTCGGCCGTTTGCAACCACACAAGTTACCCGGTAGAAAGAGTTACACGATTTATGCGTGCAAAAAGAACAGATTTACTCTGGAAGCACGAATAAATTATGAGTGCAGATAATTTCGCAGCAATTTATAAGTCTCGTTAACTCGACTCGCATACTCGACGAAGTGAGACCGAACCGAAGCGGTGTCTTCCCATTTCGCCAGTTTCCCATTCGCCATTTGCCATTAACCATTTCGCCAGTTCCCATTTCGCCATTTCTCTTCGCGCCATTTTCCCATTACGCCAGTTTCTCATTTCGCCATTTTCCCACTTCGCCAGTTTCCCATTTCGCCATATTTTATGTTGCTTCCACCCTGCACGAAATTGATCCTTCATTCTTAAAAAAGAGTCATTTCCTAGGTCGTTAGGGTTAGGGTTAGGGTGCCTGTACATGATCCATATGTTTTAATATGTACATTCGCCTTCTTGTTCTTCAAATAAATAGTTGACTCCATATCTAAAGATTCGTTATAATTTATTCATTACAGAGGCCTACTTTTAATCCACCTCGAACAAGGGGTTGTCGGGGAGATAGAACGAAATGGCGTAATGGGAAACTGGCGAAACGGGAAACTGGCGAAATGGGAAACTGGCGAAGTGGGAAACTTGCGAAATGGGAAAATGGCGAAGTGAGAAATGGCGAAACGGGAAATGGCGAAATGCAAATGGCGAAGTGGGAAATGGCGAAATGGGAATAAACCTATAAAGCCGCGTATTTTATAGACTGGTCCGCGCTCGACAGTTTTAGTGTAACGCGAATGGTACTGTCGAGCGCGGACCAGTCTACGTATTTTATCGGCAGTTGGTTTGCATTGCATTGTTTATTTCGTACTGTTTGCTTGATTGTTTAAAGCAGCTCGCAGCTCGCAAATACCGTATTTCTGGAGCCGCGAATCAGCGTGTGAACGCTCGGCCGCGTATTTGTCTCAGATTCGGTATTTCGCAAATACCGTATTTCTGGAGCCGCGAATCAGCGTGTGAACGCTCGGCCGCGTATTTGTCTCAGATTCGGTATTTCGCAATTACCGTATTTCATAAATGCGAGCTCTCGTGTGAACAAGGCTAATTGTCAGCAGTGTCGTGACAGCGCTATGAACACAATCGGTGTTTACTGTTGTTGCGTTTATACGAAGGGTAGCTAGGAGATTGAAAGTGGTGAGCATTTACCCATTATAGTGTGACGGCAATTAAGCGTGGGTGCACTTGCCGAATGAACATAATTGGGTGGCTCCGTCAGATTTAAGTAGATCGAACGTCTTGCTAATGGCCCAGTCACACATACACGACGTGTAATTAGCAATTTTGGCCAGTGCGTTGTCTTTCGCTGGGTGTGCGTCAGCATTCGTTACTCGTTCGTCGAGCGCGCTGGACCAACGCTATGCATTCGTTGTCATTCGCTGTGTGCGTCGGGATTTTTGTGCATGCACAGTTTGGCCTGTATGACCAGCTACTTGTTGAACTTCGTAACGAAAACCAGGCAGCCTTCAAGAACTTCATGCGGATGCCCCCCGAGATATTCGACGAGCTGCTAACCAAAATGGGTCCGAGGATCACCAAGCAGAATACAATCTACAGAGAGGCCTTCGACCCTGGCATCTTGCCTCTGGGAGCAAATATCACTCAATGTCTTATGGGTGGAGGGTGCCTCACAACACCATATCCCTGACCTGTTCGTTCGCTGGCTGTTCGTTGAATGCGCGGTGCATGCGCGGACCATTCGTTCCGTACGCTAGCAACACGCTGTGCATTCGTTGGATTTTTTAACATGTGGTTAAAAAATCTGTATACGCTCTGTATGCGCCCTGTATACGCGCAGCGCCCTAGCAACACGCTGTGCATTCGTTGTCAACTCGCTAGCTTCTCCCAAATCCTGACAAAAGTTGGGCGCACAACGACGCACTGATCTTATTTTCCATTCTTTGATTAATTTTTAATGCGCGGGCCGTGCGTCGCGTATGTGTGACTGTGCCATTATCTAACAATGTTTGGTTTTTCACTTTTATACCTAAGCCTATATTAATTAGTGCGCTGAAAAACGTCCACCCAATTATGTTCATTCGGCAAGTGCACCCACGCTTAATTGCCGTCACACTATAATGGGTAAATGCTCACCACTTTCAATCTCCTAGCTACTCTTCGTAAAAACGCAACAACCGTGAACACAGATTGTGTTCATAGCGCTGTCACGGCACTGCTGACAATTAGCCTCGTTCACACGAGAGCCCGCATTTATG